TATTTTTCTGCTGAAAGATACTGTTGGTGATGGTGAGCTGCTGCTCTGCACAAAACTCTAGCAGAAGGCGACCATTATCGTTGCAGTTTCCAACACCATGCTTGCCTAATACTCCTTTCCAGGCTTCAAAGTTCTTTCCTATTCTGGTGTTGAAATCACCAAGGATAATGATCGTATCATCTGCGGGAATCTTTTGGGTAAGGCGGTGCAGGTCAGCGTAAAATTTATCTTTTTCGGCAGGGTCAGCTTGGAGAGTTGGGGCAGATATACTGAAGAGGACAACATGCTTCTTCTTGTGTAGTGGAAGGCGTAAGGAGATAATGCGGTCAGAATGACCTGTCGGCAGATTTTCGAGTTTAGGGACAATAGAGTTTTTAATCATGAAGCCAACACCTGAGAGATGCCTTTCTGCCTTTCAGTTCTGGGTTTACCTGACCAAAAGAGTGTGTAACCGGCACCGTGTTCTCTAAGGCTGCCTTCCTCATGGAGATGAACTTCACTGAGAGCAGCAATGTCGATGTTGAGATGTGATAGTTCGTGGAAAATTAGGGCAGAACGACACTCAGGACGTCCACTATCTGCAGTATCAAGCATGGTTCTGATGTTCCAGCATGCTAGTGTCAATTTGGGCACACCTTTGAAGGCAGGTGTGTGCCTTTGTCTCTTAATCTTTATTTGACCTCATCAGAAGATGCCCGTTGGCCGTGGTTAACCAACCGGGTGAGGGTGGAGATAAGCTTTGTTTAGGCCAGTTTTTCTAGGCCCCTCTCCGAGTGGAGCAAGCAGTGCTCTCCTTGAAAAGGGCTGCTTGGTCATTTAGGATGCTGCCGAAAGAGACTGTCATCTCCGGGGTCAGTCTCAGGTGACCAATGTCCTGAACCGCCTGCATGCAGGGTTGAGTCTGCGGCTTCCAGTGCATCTTATTACCTGCCATTTCGACCCTCACCTGTCGCTACAGGGCTTTACAGATGTGGGTAAGGCCTTCAAGCCTGTGCAATGGATTTTTTCAGGTGAGACGCAGCATATGCAGAACTGGACCCACCCTTTAATCCTAAGGTTCATTTGCAAGGGCCTAGCGAGCTTGGACTTCTTCTAGATGGATGGCCTTACAGGGCTAAACGAGTTCCATCTGCCCAGGTTTGGAATTAGAGTTGTCCTTCTCTTAGGATGACTGCCAGAAGGCCAGTGAGCCCATCATGCCCATGGAAACATTTTATCTGACCCTTCAGTTTTGACCTGTCTGGCATGGGAGACCCTGCCAAAGGCATAGCTCACAACCTCATAGGGGCACACAAGCTACTTCCCCATTTAAATGGTTAGGGCAAACCTTTCACTCCCTACTTTTCTCCCAGCCACCTATACTCGGACCCAGGGATATTCCCAGGGACATTCCCTTGCCTGAGCACCCTTTCAGGATGCTATCGTTCCAAAGCAAACCATTCTTGGGCAGTAGCCGCAGGTGAGCCAAAAGTAAACCGTTCCGGTCCCCGCACCCACCCGGGGCTGGGGTACCTCCCACGGCCCCAGCCCAGCCTAAACCCCTCAACCCCCTGGAAGAACCCACTATCCACCCTGACCTTATCCTCCCCCCACCGTGTTACCACAGATCTTCCTTCGTGCTGCTTACCCGTGACACTCCAAACAGGACTGCCCCGCCTGCCCTCCCGCCGGTCCGGGGACCCTATGGCCCACACATCCTTCTCCCCCTCCCCCAGATTGGACTGGCAAACCTCTGTGAGCTCCAACGCTCCTCCTCTCCTCTCCCTCGAGGGCGCAACCCCTGGCACCGCCGGGCAGTGTGGCGTGGCGCGACCAGTATTATATTTGCTTTATTATATGAAAGTTTCTAACAAGCCTTTAATGTTGTTACAACAGGATATTACCTTTTCTTCAGATAAAATATAAATGTTCTGCTAAGAAAGGAGTAAAACTCATGCTATAAGGTTATATGTTAAACAATTTCTGCATACTTCCAAGCACTGTAAGTTAATCTTAGCATAGTAGGGGCACATGTTTGCTATGGTGCAAGATGTGAAATGTTTATATAAACCACAGTTAAAAGAATTTCTAGGCTCAGTTCAAGAGTTTACACTTTCAAAGTCATTCCACCAGGGCATTTATCATGATCACACAATTGCTTTGTCTGAGTTCTTTAATTCTTTCACCCCTCTGAAACTCTGTATTTAAAAACCTGTCACAAGGATTCCTAAACAGAGAAGGTCAACTAGGTGTTGTAATTGCATCTCTTCACTGAGAAAGCCATATGTAATCAGCTGAGCTGTGGCTCCAAATTGTTTTAAACTACCAACTCATACGAGTATTACTGGAAAGAGACCTAGTGCAACTGTCTGTAATGTCTACTGTCTCTGTAATAAACAGAGTTATATCTATCATTAGCACTTAAGCTAATAAATACTGATGCTTTTATGGTACCTAAAGATTTTTTTCTTATGGTCGCCAGGACCGCTGCTCAAAGAGCTTGGGCACCCTGACCTTGGTGCTTGGAAGTGGGGGGTGGGAGAGTAGGAGTGATACCTCTCTGGTAGCACTTACGTTAAAGTATTGGGTTTGAGAGGCAAGGTTGTGGTAGGAAAGGTGCTGCAGGGGTGGCTTCTGTGAGAAGGTGCCAGAAACTGCCTCCATGTCTGACAGACCCAGCACCAGCCAACTTCAAGACAGACACGCTGCTGACCAAACTGAGCCAATTGATGATGCTAGCATGCCTCTGAGATAACATATTTAAGAAAGGTTGAAATCTGCTGCACAAGAGCAGCTAGGAGAGAGAAGTGAGGGTATGTGAAAGAAAGAGCCCTGCAGACACTAAGGTCAGTGAAGGAGGAATTGAGGAGGTGCTCCACGAGCCAGAGCAGAGATTCTTCTGATCCCATAGTGGTGATGATGCTGAGGCAGGCTGTCCCTCCAGCTCAGAGGACCAGGCAACCCAAGGTCTGTCAGTGGTATTGAAATCTGAGGGGGAAAAAATCATTGAATAGCTCCACTTTTTCTTCATCCTGATTTCCCAGGTGATCATCTTCAACAAGCAGTCTCCCAATCTTTTCCTTAGACTTCCTTTACTATTAATGTACTTTAAAAAGGCCTTCTTGTTGTGTGACACAACACTGGCCAGTCTCAACTCTTAATTGAGTTTTGGTCTTTCATGTCTTCTCCCTGCATATATGAACCATAGCTCTGTAACTTTCCTGCAAAGCCTGACCTTACTTCCACACATATAATTTCCTTTTCCACTTGAGTTCCAAGACAAGTTCCCTGTTCAGCCTGATGTTGGACACGGTGGAATTGCCTGGTCCTATGCTTTTAAAGGTGCTTCTTAAGAACTGATCAGCAGTCATGGACACATAAGCCCTCAGAGGCAGATTTCATTGGGACACTGCTAAGTAGCTCCCTGAGTAGCTTGAACCTTGTCCTCTTGAAATCCAGGGTAACAACTCTGTTGACCTCTTTTTCTCATTACACTGAAAAGTTAAACACAACCACTTCGTGATCACTGTGGCCAAGACATACCATCACAGCCCCCACGAGTCCTTCTCTATTCACAAAGAGCAATAACGTAATTTCTTTTATTACCTCTCTGTTGAAACACCATATAAACAGATTGTGGCATATTGAAAATCTTGGTTTAATGTAATTTTGAAATTATCAATAGAATAAAATCTTAAAATCAAGTTTTCTATATCCTAAGGTTAAAAAAAATCTGAGACTATAATTACAAAAGTTACTTTTGTAAAAAGTCACATTTGGTTTGAACTGTCTGCTATTACAAAATTTACTTATTTAGTAATTCTAAATAATTCCATTTTTTCCATTGCAATATATATATATACACAGATGATAGTAGAACTACTTAATGAAATTTCAATGTAAAGTAATGATAGGTACTAGAACAATGCAATCAGAAAAGGACTGAACCCAAAAATTCTGTTGCCATATCTTGTCTGATTTCTTTTTAATGATATTAGATAATCAGTATATTAATTTAAAGGTATTTAATTTAGTTTTACAGCAAATTGTTGCTCTTCTGGGTGGTCTTTAAGGAATGAAAAGACTTTTAATATCAGCTTGGTATATTCATTAACCTTGGTTTTCTTCTTCTAATACATGAAGGAATACAATCTCTAATTGTGATGTAAATGTTGTTTTTCCTTTCAATATTTTCAAATTAAAGAGTTCAATGCTGATCTCATCTTTGGGTGCCCTGCCCTAACGAAGTTAAATCTGTGCAAATGAAAACATCTCTTTAGGCTACATTAATGTCTTGAATTAAATACAGTAAGTTCTGTGTTGGTTTATAGCCTGTATAATGAAGTCATCTTCCATGGGGATTTCTCAGGTTGTAATTCAGCATAGAATCTAGCCTGACTAAGATGCATAGGATAAATGTTGCCTTATCAAACCCACAATTCAAAATTCTTAGTTAACCTCTAGGTGAAGATTTGCTCATATAAGCAACTTATAGCAAAATACCTAGTTTTAAAATGTGTCTTTACTTCAGTGAATATGATAAAATGTGTTTACTGTGTCAAATAATTTTAAAGTAGTTATTTTTTCTCATATAGAGCTTCTAATAGGCATTCTTGCTCACCTTGAGGAGATTATCTAATCACATAAATATATTTTACATATATATATATATTTCTAAATATTTGGATGCAGTTTGTAATATTTTAAATGTTGTGGGGTGTTTGGGTTGTTTCTTGGATTTTGGTTTTTTTTCTAATGCAGTGATAAATTGAAAAATCTTTTAAACTTCCTATTTGATTTTTCAGACTTGGTGTTAAAAGTACCCACACTGTAACTGAATATACTGCATCTATAAGTCTGAAGATATCTAATTTTCCTATATTACCCAGTTTTTGGATAATTCATTTATTACCAGCTTCTACTTTTCTTCCAGATTTCCCCTGATTGAATTACATGAATCTTTTAGTTTGTAAATTTGCAGGATACAAGTATCATCATATTCCAAACAATTTACAGTTTACTTAGAGTGATGGCTAAAGATCAGCATGTATTACATCTATCACATAGCCCATGCTAGAGTTCATTTTAATTTGTTCTTGGTGTCTCCTCCCTCAGCCTACCCTTCTCCTTCACCTGGCAGTTTAGGCACCTGCAGGGAAAGATGTATGTATGTCCAACCTCCATTGACCGAAGCCTCCAGCTGGGGTCCTATAATTGTCTGGTCAAACAGGGCATACTTGTTGCTCTTGGAGTGGAGCTGGATGTGATCTTTTCTGCTTGTTCTGAACGTCTGACATTTTTGAGGCTGTGGCTGCATGGTGCATCTGTGTCAAAGAAAAAGGTTTTGTCTCAGTATTTCCTTCGCAGTCATTTAATTGCTTGGCCTATTCAATGGGCACAGGAATACGAGTAATTTCTTCTCTGTTTCCCAGGGTGGAAGATGTAGGTAGCTGAACCATCTGATTCAAAAGCAAACACGCAAGTAACTATGTCTGTTCACCATTTTATATAGTGAAAACTCTGCAGTAAATGAACTGAAAGGAATAAGAAAGACATTTTAGAGGAGAAACTGTTTGCAAAGTTTCTGTTTCTTGGCATAATCTAGGTAAAAGAGCTGCTTTACTGTCACTGGTTTGTACATAAAGGTGAAGAGGTCCTCTGGTATGTCTGTAACATCGACCCTATCTTTGTCTATTTTTCTTTTCTCCACAGAGCTTTTCCTAGAAGCAGATGGTATAGGCCTCAAGGTTACAGCATGTCGCTTTACTGTGTTATGTGTTCATATGGGCTGAGGCAAGAGATATTTGAATTCCTTGGTGTTCACTGATTTCTCCTCATCAGCAGAGCTGAGAGAAGTACAGCACCTTAGCATTCAATGGTGCCTGTAACATAACAGATCATCTGGTTTGAACAAGTACTATCAACGCAAAGTAACACCTTCAAGTGTAAACAGTATTACTCATAAGAGAATACATTAAGTATGTCAGTCCACCACCTGTGCTTCAACATTGAAAAACCAGTATCAGGGTATTATATTTAAGAAGGACAGTGCCAGATGCTGGCTCATTGTTGGCTTATTGTATGTAAATAAGATAAATTCCTTGTGCTTAATTAAAACAAAACAAAACAAAAAAAAACCCCACAAAAAAACCAACACTGCTCTCAAAGGATTTGAAAACTGAAATCCATTTCTTTTACTAGCCAAGACAGAGAGGGATAAAGATTACCAACTTTTGCATCCGCATTGATAAACTTGCAGGCCTTTGTATGCCTTCCCCCATTAAAAACTTCTGCTGAGACCATAAGCACCTCAAATTGACAATTATTTCTTAAGGGAGATGAGCATAAAGCTCTGGATCAGTTTATAGGTACACTACTAGAGAGACAATCAACTAAAGACAAGTTCTGTCATATCTTTTTTCCACTTTTCTTCTTTTTTTTTTGCCAAAGTACCTTACACTATGATGAATAATAATGAACTACAAAACTAATTATTAACAAACCCAGTTAGCTGATGCTCCAAAGTGGACTGCAGCAGATTCAAGTGCACTGGCTGAGAAAAAGCCATGTATAGCATTTATGCCAAGGAATACTGACTATGAACTTGCTTATGATAATCCAAATTACTACAAAACTAACTAATCAAAACATCTGCATACTTTTTATAACTTTCTGAAAGTCAGCCTTTTTTTTTAACCCAGTTTGATCAGATTAATAAATACTGAAAAATGTTAGAAGGCAGTAAAATTTTACGCCAGAAATTTCATCATATTCTACACCATTTGTACCATTTTAACCGAGGCCAAACAGATTTCATTACATTACTTAATCTTGCTTTTCTTTAAAAATCTTTAACAGTATTTTCCAATGTTTTTCTAGAGATTGAGGTAGCTCTAACCAGCAAAGTCACTCAAAATATAACATGATTCAATCTGATGGAATGATTCTGCTGACTCAGTGGGATTTATCTTGGAAGTTCAGACAAAGTCAGTACACTCAAAAGAGAGTATAAGGACACAACTGATTTCCAGCAAAGTAGTTGAGTGATACGTGTGTATTTGACTAGTTCTTCATTTCATTTCACATATTGTACCAGTGAACTGCCCTTTGGATATTTCTCTCATAGTCCATAGACTAGAAAAGGAGTATATATACCTTAAGGCTTAAACTTCATACAGTTTTTGGACAACCAAAATCATGTGGGAAGAATGTCTCCCTGAATGGGAAGAGCATAAAATACACAAATTAGGAGAAATAAATTGGTATAGAAGAAGGAATCAGAAATTTGTCCCGTGACCCAATAACCAGAGCAACGAAATCCACAGAAATTGTAGTGGTCCTTGTTTATCTGTCTGTTTATCTGATATATTCAGTGAATCTTCAATTCGTTTATAAGGCACATATCACATGTTCAAAAACAAAGGCCTGTGAACTATTTCAGATGTGAGTGGATTTATGTTTTATCAAGACTGACTTACAAAGTTAGCTCGTAAAAGGCAGGATTTTAGATTCCAGAAACATTAAGAATATTCAAAACTTTTTGAAGAACATTCAAAATATTATTCTGAGAGTCTCGATAATTGAGAAATATCTGGCAGATGTCTTTACAAACTTTCCAGAACAATGTACTGCCAACTCAAGGTAAATGATTATAATATTTTATCAAATTTTTAGTAGTGGGAACACCAAAATGTGTCCCATAATGAGAAACAAACTTACTTTTTAATGATATAATATTTTAGCTGTGGTTTGTTTGGACAGTCAGTGTTTGCTCTATTTAGTATTTAAGATTTATAAGCAGTTACTGTAATACGCCTACAAAATTATTATTGGTGAAGCATTTCTATTGTGCATTCATTTCAAAATGATATTTATTTAAAAGATCTTGTTTTTTCTTATCCCACTGTGAAATGAAACCTAATGTCAGAACCTTAAAATATTCCACTATATTAATTTTTCTTCTTTATATTGCTTCAAACTGCTTACTGAAAATTCATGGAATTATACCAATAGGTTCCTTTAAAATCTCAGACTCAGACAGTTCCGAATGCTTTGTACTAGCATGATATGTAATAGTATGATTACTTATCATATATATATATGATATATATATATATATGATACTTGTTAGTATCATTGTAGATAAGTGCTCTCTGCCTGCTTAGGAGTTGGGGAGCTGAATATGGACTAATGGTTAATCATGGCTATGATTAACCATGATTTCCTATGGAAATGTCTGCCCCTATTTTTAATTATTTACTAATAGGCTGCCTTTTTTTTTTTTTTTTGGTTGGTTGGTTTATTTTGTTGCTTTGTTTGGTTTTGGTTTTGTTTTTTTAATGTAATGGACACCTACCTATTATATTATTTTTCAGAGATGAACTTTACTACTGTGGAAAATAAACATGGTTAGCTACTTTTTCCACTTACTGCCCTGGTCATTCACAACAATATTGAATATTCCCATGAAGTAGTTTTTGTTTGTTTGGGTTTTTTTGTTTTGGGGGTTTTTTTCCCCCCTCAAATGTTGTTCTTCAGCTCTGTGATCTTGTTTATGGGAGAAACTGCAGAACTAAAGTCTGTTTTCTTTGTGAAAAGGTAACTGTGAGTTGTGCTGACTGAAGTATACAAAATTCAGAAGGAAATAAGAGGGAAGATGTGTGGTTTTGCCAAATGTGCAAGAACTCAGGAGCATGGTTTATAGCAAAGAGTAGGTCAAGCCTGCAAGGAACTCAAGTGGGATTTCTCTGGCGATCATAGAAAATAGACAGAACAGACACCAGTCAGCAATAAAAACAATTAAAACAGAGAAAGGTAAAAAAACATATAAGATATAGAGAAAATGTTGTACAAAAATTTTATGCTCAAACACAGGAAGAACTGGCCCATCTGCCACCTGCATGCTGTGGACCTGAGAGAGAATTGACCTCCTTGAATTCTTTCACCTGTATGCAAACTTCAAAAAGAAATAGGTACTCTTTATGAATTAAGTTCTATTTAACCAATTGCTTTATAAACTGCCCCCAAAAATTAACATTAATAAAACAGAGGGATTTGTTCAAAGCCCTGCAAAGCCTATATGAATTTTTCAATAGATTTTGATTAGGTAAGTGCATGTGACGGTAACAAACAATATATACAGAAATGCCTGAAATGTTTTTGTACCATATAACATTTTTTTTCCTCTCATTTCTTGGGTATGTGGTAAATCTAAGTATATTTATTTGTGTGGAATATTTATGACTATTTTCCCTCATTTATATCAGTTCGCATGCAATCTTAAGTATTATTATTATTTCTAAGTCACCTTTACCATGAAAAATGTTCTCAGTGTAAAAAGAGTACAGTCTTTTTTTTCAGGGAGATTGTACAAGAAGACTGTAATGTAGGAAGGCAACACATGAATAAATTGTGGGAAGGAGAAAAGGATTATGACAGAGCACAGCATATCACATCCTTATACAGGGGAAAATACTGTTGGCAAATTTGATCAGGGGAGTGTAGTGAAAAAAAGGTGAAAGCAGATTAACTCACAGAAAAGTCTGCTTCTTGGGTACAAGCACTAGTGTAATTTCTCTTGGATACAAGCACTAATCCAAGTTTTATCATACTTCAGCTTTAAAAAAAGGGACTATTAAAACAATATTTCTGGCTTCTAACACGTCACAGTTCAGGCATTTGAGATTTTCCTTTCCATGAAGCTTCTAATAGAGACTAAACCTTATAAAACTTGGAAAAACAATAACATGGAAGTAATTGGATAGAGAGCATAGTGAGGGAGTAGAAGGAATGTTGTTGCTAAGTTCCTGAAATGGAAGTTAATAATCCTAATAAGAGCACTGCTTTGAGCTCCTCACGAGTATATTCTGGCAGATGGGAAAAAAATTTGGTTTCAGAGACAATGGGGAGAGGAGAGGAGAGGAGAGGAGAGGAGAGGAGAGGAGAGGAGAGG